ATATCTTCACTTGGGGTGCCTGGGTGGCTCAGTCAGAGAGACACAGCGAGAGAGGGAACACAAACAGGGGGAGTGGGAGAGGGAGAAGCAGGCTCCCGCTGAGGGGCAGCCCGATGTGGGGTTCGATCCCAGGACCCCGGGATCATGACCTGAGCCAAAGGCAGATGCTTAACTGACTGAGCCACCCAGGCGCCCCAAGATTAGGCCCACTATTGAGGCATAGTTTGCATGGCATCTCTACTGAATGGCCTGTGTATTCAGTGGGGTCTCTTCAGACAGTGGCTGGTAGGAATTGGAGCAATACTCAGGCTTGTATGAACTCTGGGAATTGTTCCAATCATAACTCCCCAACAATTGTCCTTTCCTTGCAAGTTTTCTTACCCTTGTGGAACCTCCCTCACCTTTTACGTGCATATGCAGACTGTTATTTAGCCAAAGACTCCAGCGGCCTTATCTAGATTTCTGGAGCTTTTTGAGTAGCTCCTTCATCCCAAGTGCTCTGCCCTTCAGTCTAGTTGTCTTGGCCTCCCTGAGTTCCAGTCTGTTTGCTCAAATCAGTGAAACTGCTCTTGTATGTTTGAGTTTCCTCTCCTTGCTTTGCAATTCAGAAATTGCTTCCAGGCAAAATTGAGGGCAATTATAGGGTTTTTTCCTCAGGTATCACAGCCTTGTGCTGTTGACCAGTGTCTGAAAGCAGCTATATCGTATGTTTTGTATAGCTTTTTATTTGTTAACAGTGGAGGTAAAGTCAAAACTTTATTATTTCTCATGGGGTCCAATGCATTATACTTTGTGATATGAACAAGGGTCATAAGGCAATTTCCAATAAAAAAAAGAGCAATTGAAAAATTTCTAGGGATGGGTTATATAAACTATAAAGCACTAGGCAAATAAATAGCAATTGTTACTCTAGTCCTGTGATATGGTCATTATAAAGAAAGCCTGGTTTAATGACATTGATTTTCATTGTGCCAACTTTTAATGCCCTTTCATTTGATAAAAATGCAGTAATAGGTGGGAGGCACTATTCTCCTTATGCCATTTGAGAAATTGTAACCAAGATTATTTACCTTTTCTGTCACCTTTGAGTCACCTCTACCTAGCCATTAATTCAGAAAGTCATTAAAAAGTATTTTCTGCTACAAGACCTAATTTTTTTTTTACCTGTTTTGTTTAAACAAAAACCTTTATTTATTTTTTTTTAAAGATTTTTCTTTATTTGCGAGAGAGAGAATGAGAGACAGAGAGCATGAGAGGGAGGAGGGTCAGAGGGAGAAGCAGACTCCCGCTGAGCAGGGAGCCCGATGTGGGGCTTGATCCCGGAACTCCAAGATCATGACCTGAGCCGAAGGCAGTCTCTTAACCAACTGAGCCACCCAGGCGCCCTATTTATACTTCATTATGAAACTTTTAAAACTTGGGCCGTTAGGTTTCCAATTTTTTTTTAATAAACTCTTAGGGGTTTTTGTTTTTCTTTTGTTGGTTTTTTTATTGCCCTGGTTTGAAATTAAGTGCTGTGGCTGTGACATTTCAGAGTTTGCCAAACTTGTGGAAGAGTTCCGGAATTTTGGGGTAAAGCTTCTGCAGTCCACCAGTGGCCACAGCCATGGCACGTTTGAATGGGTCGACAGCATGTTGGTTCGGGCTCTGAAGTCTGGAGATTGGCTTTTGATGGACAATGTTAACTTCTGCAAGTAAGGACCTTCTGCTTAATCACAGAATTGAAATTTGAGATATGCTTATCAAAGTAGAAACCCAGTTGGAAGCGCTGGTATTTTGAACCCATTGTTAACTAGAAACAAATCCTCAACCATATTCTGTAGACTGATCCCTGTGGTGAACAAAGGTAGTTGGTCATTAGCTGCAAGATTTTAGTTCTGTATGACTGTTTTGAGCTAACCTGAAGGCTAACAGAATTGGATTACTTTTCCAACCGTTTTTGAGGTAGACCTTTTTATTTAACATCAAAAATACTCTTTTTGTTAGGGGCATTCTTGAAGGCAAATTTTTGAAATGGAGGATCTTTTACAGGGCAGACATTTAGTAAATGTGCATCAGTGTGTATTGCTTTGATTCTAAAGTAAGGAAAAATGCATAAAACTACATAGTACACAGCGTAATAGAAACTACTCCAGGTCAGATGATGGGTTTCTCTACCTGGAGCATTTTTCAGAATGTTTGAATTGAAACCCAGTTGCCTTCAGATTGATTTGATAATGCTGGGAAGTGGGGGAGATGGAAGAGGGAAAGAGAAAAGAAAGAGCTATAGATCATGGAATAATTTTCCTTTATTTTATTTCCTTACTGAACAAATATTTTGTATATTTACTGTGTATGAATCTCTGGGCAACATACCTTGGGGAGCGATAAGGGGAATGGACGGGGAGAGAGAACACAATTCTATATGGGGGCGTGGTCCATGCTGAAGGAGGACATGGGTCAGGAGCAGTGGGAGGCCTGTGCAAGGAAAAGTAGAACCAGTGCAGCATTTCAGTCTGTCACCATTGTATTTGAATTCTCTCTGCAGCCCATCAGTGCTGGATCGTTTGAATGCTTTGCTTGAGCCTGGAGGTGTTCTCACTCTTAGTGAGAGAGGACTGATAGATGGATCCACTCCCACCATAACACCAAATCCCAATTTCAGGTATTTGTGCCTCTTAAGTTTCTGCCTAAGAATCTGACTGTCTCAGTGGGAGAGGTAGACATTCAGTGGGACCTTCTTACATGTTATATTTATGATCCAGTCATAAGTATGTTCACCTGTTTATTGATTCAGTTAACACATATTTATGGAGGCTTTGCTATTTGGCAGACTCTGGGAGCACATCAGTAAAGAAGGGGGGCTCCTGGCTGGCTCAGTAAGTAGAGCATATAACGCTTGATCTCAGGGTTGTGAGTTTAAGCTCCACATTGGGCACAGAGCTTACTTTAAAAAATGAAATAATAATAAATAATCAAGAGGTGAGGTCCCTGCAGTGGGTTGGTGTTAAAGGGTTGAAGCAGGGAGACTGATCACAAGTCTTTCGCAGTGGTTCAGGCAAGATATATGTTAGCTTAGACTAGGGTGGCCATATGAGTGGGAATTGCTGATGGTTGGGTAGGTTGAAAAAAGAAGCAGCAAGGATTTTACCTAAGCTTTTGGCTTGAGTAACTGGGTAAATATGGGAGCCATTTATTGAGAAAGGGAAGACTGGCAAAGGAGCAGGTTTGACATGGGGAAGTTCAGCAAGGAATCCACTGTATAGCATTGGAGATGTCAGATGGCTAGGTGCAGATGTTGCTAGACATCGAATATATGAAGGTAATTGTTTCAGGAGAATACACTGCTCCCTTTTCTAATCTCTGTAGGTGAGTTAGAATGATGAATTAGCACTATCTGATTTGGGTAATATCTGAAAGTAAGAATTTTAACATTCTCAGCATCAAAGGTGCACTGGATAAACAATAGTTTCTAAGGAGAGTAGGTTTAGAGAAACTGATTTTGCTGTTTTGATGCATTTTGGCACTAGAAGATAGAATACAGATGAAAGTGGAAGACTTTGAGTTAGTGGTTATCTCAAGCTCCCTAAAGATGAACCACATAGGATTTGCCCTCACCAGTTGTTGCTGAGCCGCATCATTGGTTATAACTGGGAGTTTAATTTTTTTTTTCTTTGAATTGCTAGACTTTTTCTCTCGATGGATCCTGTTCATGGAGAAATATCCCGAGCTATGAGGAATCGTGGACTTGAAATCTACATTTCAGGAGAAGGGGATGGGAACATCCCAGATGACCTGGATCTGAAGGTTCTGCTGCACAGCCTTGGGTTGGTGGGGGATAGTGTGTGTGACAGCCTCTTGGCTCTACACACAGAGATCCAAAGCACTGTAGTAGGTAAGATGCTTGAATTCTAGGCCTCTGCAGAGTTTTATTCTTCTAGAAATTCATATGTTATTCCATTTGACTGCTCATCTAGGAGTTCTTAAATTTAGTGTACATACAAATAGAAGTCATCAGAAAAATGTGTTAAAAATGGAAATGTGCTGATGCCCTTATTCCCCCTAAGAGATTGCGTTCAGCAAGTCTGTGTGATGCACAGAAATTAGTATTTTAAAGAAGCTTCCCAGGTAATTCTGATGGATTCATTCAGATACCCTTATTTTGAGGAATACTGCTTTAGGCACTAAAATTTGTAAAGTTTGTCCCTCTTATCTTCAGGATGGTCATTGAGTCTTTTGAAGGTAGAATTAAGAGGGAACTTTGAACTGCTTAAAACTAGTGTTTCTTCTTCTAAATGTCCAAATATACAGGAACAGGCAAGAATAATAACAAAGGTAATGATAAAAAATGAAATGCTATTTATTGACTAACTGCTGTGTATTAGGTACAATGTCAGTTGCTTTTTTAGTCTTCACAATAGTTCTTCAAAGCATGTTTTCATTTTACAGATAGGGCTCAGAGAGGTTGAGTAACTCATCAAAGCCAAACAGTGAGGTTTGAATGCAGTTCTGTTGTATTTGAAAGCGCATCGTCCTTTATGAGGTCACGCTCATTTTGCTACTTCAGTGTGTATCAACTTTAGATTAAGGATATATATGACCAGGCTTTGTCATACTTGTAATTGTCGCTTTCCTGCAACATACTTTTGAGAGCCAGAAAGGGAGGGAGGGAGGCAGGATAGGGAAGGAATATGAATGTTCCCACAAGTCCATAATGTGCTACTGAGCCCTAGATTCCACTTAGAAGGCTTTCTAAGGTAAGTATCTGGGTGGATTTGAGTGGAACAAAGTTTGATGTGAAGATGAATTTATCTGTTTTCACTGGAGATTTTGCGGAATCTGTTCCCCATAAATGGCAATTTTTTTCTTTATAGGTTCTGCAACGTCCTCTATTTCAACTCTGATTCAGACAGCCTTACTCATTGTGCAGTACCTACAGCGAGGGCTGAGTTTAGACAGAGCCTTTTCTGAAGTATGCTGGGAAGCATATGTCCACTCCCAGCATTCACCAGCAAACCATAAGGTACTATGAAGTGTTTCAAACAGCTTCCTCAGTTATAACACTCTACATTATTTAGGTGGAGGAAATTCTTTCTATTGATGGTAACTTTAATGGACTGAGAGTGGAGCACTTCAGTTACTCTTTAGTAGAGATCTGGCATCTAAAACATTTCTGGAAAATAGGTTAAATGTAAATATTACTTCTTCGAAACTTAGCTTAGCAGACAAAGTGGAATTTACCTTGTAATGTTGAATATTGAAGGCTGTGATGAGAGTTGTCATGAGATAATCACAAAGGTCTTGGAAAACCATTAATATTCTACTCGTTTCTGGTGATAGCACTTATATGTTGCCTGTACACCACATGTTTTTATCTCCTACCAGCTCGCACAGGCTTTACTGGAGAAACATGTTTTTTCCCTGCGAGCACATGAAACCTGGGGTAACTCCATCCTTGCCATGGGCCTGTGGCCAGATTCTCTGCCCTCGGCTCTCTTTGCTACTGAAGATTCTCACCTGTCTATAGTCCGAAATGATGGACAGATCTTAGTATATTGCCTCAACAGGATGAGCATGAAAACCAGCAGCTGGGCCAGGTTAGTGGAGCCTTCAGCTTGTGTCTGTTTGGCGTCTTGACTCTTTTTTTTTTTTGATGGTAGTGATCATGACCAACATGTTTGACCAGAATGTGATGTGGTCATTTATTACCCAGCTGTCATAGTTTCTTGTTCATTGTAATATTGCTCCCTATTATTATTCACTCAATATGTTTTAATTGTCCTCCTTTGAAGGGGACTAATCTTTCCCCATTACCTCTTGGATCCATATTTGTAAAGTTATTTTCCTGGTTCTTTGAAATATAAAATGAAAGTTCATTCTAGTACTGATTTTGCCTTATTTTTTCTAATGAATTTCAGGATTCAGCCTCTTACCTTGCCAGACTTAGAGAAAATTATGCAGTCCTCTAACCCCGAGAGCTTGAAATTCAGTTCAGTTGAAGTGGATACTTACTGGATCGATGAAACAGATGTTCTGGCCATGGCTGTTAAATTGCTTATAGAAAGAGCAACCAATCAAGATTGGATGCTCAGAGTTAAATGGCTTTATCATTTAGCCAAGAATATACCACAGGGGCTGGGTGAGTCAAAAAGCTTAATTTGTATAGTAAGTGAATATATTTACACTTATACTATTTTAGGGCCTCAGTAGCTGTGTTATTCTGTGAGGATACTGTCAAAATTCTATCTGGGAGATCTAGCAAGAAATTTGTGACTTGGCATTACTGTTTGTATAGCTGTTAAAAAAAAAAATTAAGGCACATATATATCTGCCCTTAGATATGTTCTAAGAGAAACTTTGCCCCCATGTAATCCTTAGCATTTCAGGATCTTCCACCTTCCTATCAAATACAAAAGGAAAATGTACCATGTTATGTTACTGTTTATTTTTTGAACATGCTGCTATACTTCTGCTATACAGTCATCCTGACTGGGGAAGGTTGCTTTTGGTAACCTCATTTCCCCTAAAAGTGCATAAGAGACTTACTTTAGTTCCAGTGGTCTAAGTTGTCGTGCTTAATTTCTTTGTACTTTTTCATTTTAAGAGGAAAAACCAACAATAACAACATTGCATGGGTTGCAAAGTACAGGACTTGGAATTTGTTGGTAGAACTTGTTGCCTAAAGTAATTGAGTTTGCATGAACCTTTTTATTCATGAGAACTTAGAGAATGTGTGTATTATGTGGTGCATGTGATCTGTCTAAAATTGTATAGAGAGAATTTATATATTTTATCTGCGTTGTCCTATATGAGAGCTACCAGCCACAGGTAGCTACTAAAATGTAAATATAAATTAATTAAAATTAAATAAAATCTAAAATCCAGTCCTTAGTTGCACTGGCCACATTTCATGTACTTGTTAACACGTGACTAGTGGCTACTCTGACAGTGCAACTATAGGATGTTTCCATCACTGCAAAAAGTTTGCTTGGACAGCCCCACTTCAAATATTAACATTTGCTTCTCCTTCCTCCACAGAATCAGTACAGATTAATTTGGAAGCCAATGCTGCATCTCTTAGGAATTTTTATTCAAATTCTCTCTCAGCTGGGGTCAGCAATGTCATCAAAATATTACAACCAAATATAACAGGTACTGCACCTGATTTAATTTCGAGTTCTCCGCACAGTTTAGGAACCTGGTCCCATCAAGTCCATGGAAAAAGACTGTCAGAACTGCCACTGTAATAAACACTGTATTTTGGAAGACTCACAGTATTCAGATGCAAATTCCACTTCTTTGTTTGAAATCCTTTAGTCTTTGAAAGATGATGATGATACACAACATAGTAGGGAGAGCACAGGAGTTGGAAGACTGGTCTCTGGTCCCAACTTAAACACAAACTGGCTTGTTCATTTGAGACCCATCATTCATACTTACTGCCTGTGTTTGGAAAATATGGGAATTATATTCATTTCTCTGCGGTCCCTTCCACTCAGAGCATTCTCATTTGTTAACAGAAAGGGTTTAAACTATGAGCTATTTGACTTGATGGGTAAACAATACAGTGTGAATTACTTCAGAAAATATAAAACCTTAATAAAAGTTATAAAGCCTTAAATATAAAGTTTTAAAACCATAATGATAAAAGAAATAGCCATTCAAGCTATCAAATGAGGTATTCAGAATTTATTTTTTTATTTTTTTAAAGATTTTATTTATTTGAGAGAGAGAGGACGAGTTGGGGGGCGGGGCAGAGGGAGAGGGAGAAGCAGACTCCCCACTGAGCAGGGATCCCGACATGGGGCTCTATCTCAGGACCCTGAGATCATGACCTGAGCAGAAGGCAAACGCTTAAGCGACTGAGCCACCCAAGCACCCCCAGAATTTATTTTTAATTAAGGAATAAGATTGCAAACTTACTTGAAGAGAATAATATAAAGTTAATTAAACATAAGCATTAATGAGGAAATTAGGGACATTTTTGTAGAACCAGGTTTTTAATTTCCCATCCCTATCTTCATTTGATATTGATTAAAACATACCATTGCCATTTGGTTTAGAAGAAAATATGCATGATGCTTTTGTGCTAAACCAATTACCTTATGTACACTAAAGATAACGAAGTAAATGTTTGGGAAGAAATCAAACTGTAGGAAAAACTACTGTAGTGATCATGTTGTGGCTGACCTAAATCATGGCTTCCCAAGTATGAAAAAATTTTGGTCTTTGGGAATAGTTCTAGAGTAGAGAGTAGCAGGTTCCCTTTTTAGTAGATATCATTTGCTCACTGTTGGAACATAGTAGGTATACCTTCATCTTCCTTTTCTAGTGTATAGCTCTGGATCATGTAGTCTTACTGGACTTTGGAATATGGGGTCTGTCCTTCATGTACTTTGCTGTTGACAGTAGGCATTTGTTAGTCTAGTGTATGATAAAACTTGAAGTGCTCCACTGACCTACCCAGCCACCTTCAAGTTAATGTTACCACTGTTTTTTTGTTAAAAGATTTTATTTATTTATTTGACAGAGAGAGAGACAGCGAGAGAGGGAACACAAGCGGGGGAGTGGGAGAGGGAGAAGCAGGCTTCC